TTTTTCGTTCTTTTGACCAAGGTCATAGCAGTATGTTATCATTTGATAATTTTTTTTAGTGCTATTGTCATCATGAATTATAATATGTCTCGAAATAATCGTAGTGATTTGCTTAATATCTAAGAAAGTAATGCTTTTCAACATCAACAAGATAATGCATAGATCTCAATACAATATAGTCGACAAATATTTCGATTATGATAGTTTAGTTGCTGACATAGAAAATCAATATTGAAATAAGTTTATACAAATAACCGTGATTATATTCTTCAAGTAGAACTCATTGAATATGTCACTTGACATTTTGATTAAAATCGACAATAACATCCAGTAAATGTTAGTTATCTACTAAACATTTGATCACATTCGTATTAAAATTTAGTTTTCATGTATTGAGTTTAATCTCAAAAAAAAAATATATCTATATATAAATATTTGTTTTTGAACTTATGAAACATCTTGTGATAGACTTGAAAATTGATAAGAAAAACATCCTTTCATATTTTGATGCAATTTGGTGCATTTCTTTAGGTCTGACTGGACTTCGATTATTTTTGTGATTGTTAAGGTTTTGTAGAATCCATCAGGATTTCCTATCGGACCGATTGGTTTTCTCGAAATTAAAACTTAGAGAAACATTATATTGAGAATCAACTGAAAGTGACGATGATAAAGATTCTTCATGGCTGTGGCATTTTATCTAACTAATCAACGATTATACTGGAAGAGTATTGAAAAAATTTACATTAGCTTAAAGCACAGAGTGTTTCATAAAGTCAATGTTATTTTCTATTTGTTAGACTTCTATAAAAACATTAAATATTTTAAAATGAAAAAATATAAAGAAAAAAGTAAGAACCGAAACTGTCTCTATTGATAAAAGAGAGTAATAATAAGAATATAATAGATTCTGCTGCCAAATACACCTATAAAAAATTTTGAATCCATCTTCTATCAGACAGATTCTAAAACTTTTCGTAAGAAAAGAAAATTCCATGAAACGAAAAATTCGTCTCATTAGGAGTCCTGATTCACCTGTTTCTCACATGACGAGATTATCTCATAACATGATATATTCTTTGGCTGTTGATAAGTAACAGATTTTTATAAGATCATCAGCATACGTTTTTTTTGTCACGATGACTATAAAGTGCATAAAAGACATCTGATTCATTCGAAAATGTTCAAACTATCTGAGTTATTTTAACATTTCAAATTATTGATTTTTTTCATGTATATTAACTGTTGTAATTTAAACTTACAAGATAGAAAATGTACAGCATTATTTTAGAAGTCTTCATAAATTGGTTGATCTTTTTTCTTTTTGAGTTGTCACTTATTTTCTTTTAAGAACTATGTAACTAACTTAAATCATCGAAGAATTGCGAAGCAAGAATAATAATGTGAAGTATTTCAATGAATCTTGAAACATGAAACAAGACTAAAGTAATAGCTAATGAAGAAATATCGATTTAGTTTATTACGTCACGATCAATTAATACAGATTATTTATTAAAAAAACAACTACAAGCGATAATGAACATAAGTTCTCTCTTGCAACATGATAAAATAAAGATTTCGATTTATGTGAAACACTTATTACACATTGTCATTACAACTAAAATGAATTTAGCAGAAAAATGGGTGAAAGGTAAAAAAGAAAATAAATATAATAATTTCATTTTTTCTTCGAACAGCTATGAAACCTTCCTTAAGAACATCCACAATGACTCCAATATACGAGGCACGGGTCAAAATTTCAGTTTTTCATTTGTTTGTATGCATTAGAGAGAAAATCATCTAACATCATCAAAACAACAGTTTCAGCTCATCTCGATGTTCTATAGAACAGTTAGTCTTTACTGACTTTTTACTATCAGCTGCCTACTACCATGAAATAGTCAGAAATCGTTCCATCGATGTTCACTGAGATCACACTTCAACAAATTACAAATTTTTTTCATGCAATCTACTGAAAAATCGAGCAATCAACAGCTGAAAAAAAATGAGATCTTTAACATATTCTATATCATTTATTTCTTGGTACTATAAACAGTGTCTTATAATAACTTGACGATGATATTGTCAATGATATTTTTATATTTTTTCTTTACACAAAGATTGAAATTTTTATCATAAATATATCTAACCAAAATCTTTGATTTTCCAAAGTTTCAGCTTTTTAGCTAAAACTAGTACTGAAATGCATGGACAAGATTGAAATACAAGAATTTTTGCACTTGGTTTTCGATAATCTTTTCAATATTTAGTCAAAATCACGATGGAATACCTAAGAACTATTCTAACTATACAAGAATTCATTTTTATCTAGAATCTTTCAGATTTAAATGCAAACGTCATCTTAAATGTTCATCAATTACGAAAATAGTAAAGACTTTAAATATTCGATATTGAATTTAGAGCGTCACAGAAAGCATGAAATATTGGTTGCATAGTTTGTAGCACAGTTATTTAATAAACATACAGAACCTATAGGAAACGGTGTTCAACTCGATGATATATGGAGAAAATAGAAAGTGTAGCATGTGCTGAAAGAAAACGTTCACGAAAAATATTTGACACATCACTACAATTAGCAAAAGAAATTTTGAAAAAATGATGGATGAAATACTCTATCGATTATAGCTGGCCATAGAAAATGACGGAGAACACGTTCATACACATTAAAAAATAAAGACGTCACAAAAATCAAGTACGAAAATTCATATATTTTCATGTTGTTCATATATTTCAGCATAAGTTTTAGCTAGAAAGCTAAAGCTTTGGAAAATTAAAGATCTTGGTTAGATATATATGTGACAAAAGTTTCAATCTTCAACGTAAAGAAAAAGTGTGACAAGTGTCATTGACAATTTATTACCAGCTACTATGGAACACTCCTTCGGTAAGTAATGGTGAAAGATCGGTATAAGCTACCTATTCTATGGAACATCAGAATGATCTAAAATTTTTCGTTTGATGATATTAGATGATGTTCTTTCGAATCCACATAACAAAAATAAAACATTTCAGTTTTGGTCAATGCCTCAGTTTCTTCTTTACTACTCTCCTATAATAAGGTGCACGTATCGCAAAATTCGAGTCAAATTTGTTTTAGGTGTTTTTGTTTTATACACTATTCCATCACGTTTGAGTTATTAATTTTTAAAAAGAAAATCGCTTTTTAACTATTATGAATAGCTTTTGCAGATCGAAAAAAATCCAGAAAAGAAAACAAAGCTGGTTTATGCAAGAAATTCCTGTTTATTCAATTTATGTGAAATTTCCTCCATTAGTCTTCCGTTCAGTTTCTGCGACAATTTTTTTTCACATTCAGCGTCAAAAATACAGTATAATTACACTATTAAATCTAAAGGAATTCTTATACTCTATTGATGGTGATGATAACTCTAAATGGTTCTATTGAGATATTTTAATATTTTTCTAAACATATCTACCTTTTCTGAAATAGTGATGAGATCAATAATCTCATCTCATTGAATGCATTGTACTACAACCTACAATAGAATCCATTAATTCTTTTTCTACACTACTTGTTTGCTGAGAAAATTCATCTTCATTAAATGTGGGACTAAATCGACTGAATTCTTAATTTTCATTATGAAAACAAAGCTTTTCATGTAATAAGATTATCAGATTTGAAATTAGAGCAAAAATTGAGTCGTATGAAGTATATTTTTATTGCTTCCGTTGGCCTCAATTTTCATCGAGTTTTTATTTTAAGTAGCATCTAAAATTTTCACAAAAACTATCAAGGTGAGGAAAAGTTTGAAAAAATACATCATCCTATTCAGTTTTTAACGCTAAATTTGCTAAATATAGTCGCAGAAGTTGAATAAAAGAGTATAGTAGAAAATTTCGTATAAGTGGAAAACAATGGGTTTTTTGTAAGATACAATTGTCTTATCTTTTCTGAATTTTTTTCTTTGATCTGAAAAAATTATTCAGAAAAATGAACAACTAAGATTTCTTGATAATCAGCTAAAGTTCTATCGAAATCCTATCTAAAAAAAATACAAAAAATTTTACGTGAATTTTGCGTTACGTGCACCTTTCTCTAGTGTTTTTTTGAATTGTTACTAGATATTTTTGCTTCGTTGTTCGTTGGAGTTTCTTGTGAAGTTAATTGTGATTGCTGTGCCTTTTTTTCAATTTTTTGACGTATCATCCGCTGTTGAGTATGCATTGGTAAAGCTGGATTTAAACTGAACACGTATGATAACATATTCTTTGCTATATTTTCAAAATCGACTATCACTTTGATAAACATTGTATCATCTTTAACGTATGGACTATTAGGATTATCAACTGTATTAATTGGAACAAATTTCGGAATACCACTTGCAATATTCATATCTGAACGTGGTCGTTGGAAACTATTGGATTTAGTATCAGGACGAAATGAATCAATGATATGAGATCGTTGATCACTTTGATCGAAGAGACAAAATGTAACCTTATAACTAAAGGGATATTGAAGTATAGAGTCATTAGGACCACGCATTAAAACGAAAAATAGAGACATATGAGTACGACGAGCATTCCCATCTCCATACAAATATAGACGAGCACACATTTTGTAACCTGTAGGTGATGAGAAAAATGGTGGAGAGTATATAGATACTTGTCGTTCAGATTTTGCATCAGCTGAAAATAGAACAGTTTTTGTTGTTTTTTTTTCTATTCATCTTTTCTATGCATAACAATAAAATTTTTAATACAAAGCATAACACAGCGCATAGTAGAAAGTCATGTAGGTTGACTATTTCAATCGTTTTAGTTATTCCTTATTTCATTATCTTTATTTACAATAGATGGTTTTGTACTGTTTGTAAAGAATATTAGATATATTCAGGTCAAGTTAATGTCCTCACTGCTAAAATAACAAATTTAAAATATGCACCGCTCATCATATGCACCAAGTGAGATAATGGATTTTTTTAAGGCATTTACATCAAATGTAAGATATTCAGAAGTCAACTTTTTATTACTATTTCTTTTTCTTTTTCATGATTGTTAGATCGAACTCGTCGAATTACATAAGATTAAGTTTGTTTCAAAGTTTAAAAAAAAGTTTTTAAATATTTCATAAAAGTTAGAATTTTTTGGTTCATTTTCCTAATACTTGAAGATAATAATACCTTGCATATTTTTCAATAATTTTTTAAAACTCATTGTTAAATATGAAGTATATGTTTTTTCTTATGCAACTTTGCGAGCTTTATCCAACCCATCATAAAAATAAAAAAAAAGAAATAGTGTTAAAATGTTAACATGTGTATATTTTACTTATTTTGTAAATCCCTAATTAATTCATTATCTTGTTTGGTGAACGTCATAAGTAGATCATATTTTAATTTTGTTAGTTATACAGTAAAAGCTTTAATTTAATCCAAATATGTCTAATATTCTTTTGTAACAGTACAAAATCTTCCATTGTTAGTCATATTATTCGTCGATTACTCATTAATCTGTGAAAGTCATAATTGTTATGACAAGAAATTATTTTGTTGAAACAAAAAAAAAACGAAAACTTTTAACACAATTGATAAATATTCTTACTCATTTTCTCTTGAAATCGACTGATTTTCCAAATCAATGTTCCATCATAAGAAGTGGCTTGTTTGTCTTCATATTTTTGTTTTAAAGATGATAACTCCTGATGTAGAATTGTTAAATTAGTATTCATTGCGTCTAAAATATTATTTGATTCTTCAATTGATTTTTTTATCGTTGGTAGAACTTCATCGATTGTTTTGAATGATTCAAAATTTTCTACTGATTCATTGTTCATACGCACGACATCATCATTCAATGTCTGAACACCATTTGACAAAAGACTAATCATTTCATTAACATATTCGTGTTCATTTCCATGGTCGTCTGTTATTATTGTCGTAGATGATGTAGTATTAACTATAGATGAGTGATCCGAAGTTTTCATTTTCATGTGAGTATCGACGTTTGTCGATGCTTGGTATTGTTCTGTCCATTGTGAAGAAAGTTGATCAAAGCAAAATAAAAGAGCTCTTTGATGTTCTTTTGTTCGATAATGCCTTTCCAAATCACCACGAAGAATCTACATCAAAGAAATAGTGTGAAGAATGATATCATGCATAGAACAAACTTCTTCTCGACATCCATATTGCTGAAGAGGACAATGTACAAGTATTTTTGAACATGATTTCTTCATATGTTGTTCATGTAATGGTAGAGAATCAAATATTTCTCCACAATATGAACATTTATATTGAGGATGTAATCGTTCGAAATGATTCTAAATTCGAAGAATCACAATACATAATATTAAAAATATATTGACATATACCTGATAGTTCTTTAGCTGTCCGAACCATTCACATGAGATACAGTTGACTTCTAATGTTTGCATGTCTTTATGAAAGCCTTTATCAAGTTTTACCTTTAACAAAAAGTGATATTCAATAAAATAACATACAATAATGAATATAAATAAGTATTGTTTTGATTTACCTCTGAAAGTAGTGTCTGTTCTTTGCATTCCAAACATAAAACAAAACTTATCACGAAAAAAATTTGGATTGAAATGAAAACTAAAATTGATATTCTCTTACTTATTCTGAGCATCAACACAGCTGTGACATATGCGATGACCACAATCTAGTTGAACTGGATTTTTCAGTAGATGCAAACAAACTAAACATTTATACTTTGTATCAAATCCATTTTCATTTCGAACAATATATCCACCGCTTAATGAATTACTCTAGGAAAAAATATGTTTATTCTAATAAAACTTTTAAAAAAACAACTTACCATTATATAGAAATAAAGAATTAATAGTTGTTGGTCGTTATTTGAAATGATAATTAGAAATTGAAGTAAGAGACGAAGGGTCACAGTTGCTGAAGAATCTACAAGATATGATATAGACGAGGATTTCTTTTATAGCTATTTTTGAAAAAACATGTACAAAAAGTAGACATTTTTTTTTCGAGTGTTTTCATGTTTTATGAAATCATTATAGACCTCATTTTTTTGGTTGATTGTTCCTTGTCAACTAAACAAAGAAATCATCTAACGAAAATGTAATTGTTTTTGTTTTCGATAAACAAAATTTAAGATATCTGATTCTCTTTTCTTTAAATAACTGGTGTCCATTGATATTGCATTATTAAAGCAAAGTCATGAGAACAGCTAGCGTTGTAAAGCATGAAAAAGATTACAATTGAAACTCTCAATTTATAATATCAACAAATTAAAGCCAATATATGTAGCTGAGTATTGAAGGAGGAGTGGTCGATGACACGCTCTCATCATAAAAAAAAAAAATTTTTATTAATATATTCGTCGTTGTTATCAGATATTACTTAAAGAAACAAATGAAAACATATAAAGGATATGGATGTGAGTGGATGAGCAGCTGTTAGGAGTGTGGGTGTAGGTATAAGTATAGGATAATGACAGTACAGAGAAGATTTGCACTCACACTCAAGTAGCTAAAAGTAGTTATGTTCATTGTTTTGACATTAGCTCACGAATGACTACACCTTTCGAACTCGAAGATGTTTCAATTGATAGTGAGTTGTATAGGCAACATATCCATTCTATCTAAGTGAGTAATATGTGGAGTACAAAAACGCTACTGATCAAAAACTGTCCGAAACTGGAGAGATGCATCCTCCTAGGATACTGGTGTTTCCAACTTTTCTTCAGTCGAACAGATGCTAATACAGTTTTTCTTTTACCAATGATAGCTATTGTCAAGACGCATCTTTCGAAAACAAATTGTCTAAAATGGAAACATTGGAGGTCACGTTAATATAAACCATACTGCGGCCTACTCTACCTATTAACGATTAGCTCTAACCTTCTCTTATCCGGATGGTCATCCAATTTCTTGGGAATTAAGGAGAATCGGGTTCAGATTTGTATTGAGTACATGAAATAGAGTCCAGCAAGATACTTTAGAATGACTTTCTACATGTATCTAGGATGTGGGCATTAGATGCAGGCGTGTGAGCGTAAATAGGAGTGCCGGTGTAGGTCCCCTGTTCACCCACATCTGGATCCATGTGGGGAACTGTCCAACGAGCAATGACTCTGCGAGTAATTGTCCTAGAGCTCATAGTAAATATGAATGATAGAGGCAACAGTATTTTGACAATGATTCCCGAATGATAATAACTATCGAGTTTGTCTTTTTAGCTGCGGGTAGCTGGTTCCAAAAACGACAAAACTGGATATGTTTCAAACTCAAAAACTCTAGTCACTGAGATATGTCTAGATAGATGATCTTCGGAGTATCGTTTTATACTTTTTTTGACTAATATTTGGATTATTTTCGATCAGATAATCACAGTATGAGTCGTAATTAGTATCATAATCGTAATCAACATGGAAAACTCATGAGTAAACCATCCAAGGTGATACCTCGGTTTGATATGAAACCTCTGTCATTATGTAGGGTCTGTTGAGACTAGACAAAATCTAGAAGGATTCTTTTTCATGCACTGCTTTTTTGGAGTTATGGTCGTTACATTGGATTTTTTTACAGATACCGCCCGAAAGATAAAAGTCCAGCATAACGGCCATAACTTCAAAAGGGCAGTGCATGATGAAAAATCCTTCTAGATTTTATCTCATCTTAACAGGCCCTACTAAATGACAGAGGTCTCATCTCAAATCGAGATATCACCTTGAGTGATTCCTTCATCAGTCGAATTATATATGTTTCAAATATTTCCGAGAATTCCGTTTTTGCACGGAAAAAAGCATCCCTATCGCGTCAGAGTTCAGCAAGAATTGATTTCTCTTAGAAACGTCAACTGTCTTTTGAAACAAACTATAAGAACTTCTAGAATATGACTACAAACAAAATGGCAGAAGACTAAACAATGGAACTAACGTTTTGAGCGAAACAGTTTTTCGATAGAAAAAAGTAAATTCTCAGAAATATTTGCAACCTATATAATCCACTGAGCTTTCCATGTTAATTTTGATCATGATATTAGTTGTGACTCAGACTGTGATTGTCGAACCAAAAATTATTCGAATACTAGTCAAAAACTTGCAAAACTGTACTTCGAAGGTCATGTTTCAAGGCATGTTTCAAGAGACTTCGATTCTTTTGAGCTTGAAAAACATACACTTTTGTAGCATTGGAAACTAGCTATCAAGAGATAAAAAGTGGAACTCGATAGTTATTATCGTTCTGAACTTATTATCAAAACATTGTTAGCTCTATCTCCCATATATGCATAAAGTGGACCCATTACCTTGACCATACTAGTTACTAGTAGAAAATCATTCTAAAGTTGCTTGTTGGATCTAATTTCATGCATTGAACACGAATCTGAAGTAGGCTTTCCTGAGTTTCAAGAAATTATATAGCTACGTGGAGGGAAAGGAAATTCGAGCTAATCGTCACTAGCTGAGGTGGGCCACAGTGTAGTCCGTGCTGACTTGGCTTCACAATTTTTTACCTTCAACAATGCATCTTTCAAAGATGCATCTTGATGAGATTTATCACTAGTTAATGAAGCGCTGTATTATCCTTTGTCCGACACAAGAAAAGTCGAAAACACTGTCATTCCAGGAAGATACATGTCTCGAGTTTTGGATAGTTTTGGACTAATATAGCTTTTGTTAATCCATATGTTGTTCATTTAGCTAGAATATATTTGTTGCCTATATACTTTACTATCAATGGAAATATGTCCGAACTCGAACAGCGAAACTATTCGTGAGATAATGTCAAATTACCGAACACAACTATTTTTAGCAATTTTGCTTTTGCTTAAATAGACTTTGTATGCTTATATTAGCTTGTATTTGTTATAGGAAAAACCAAATGACTTAATACTTTTGATTTTACTATGGCTTGAATAGACCTTTCATTTGAGATCTATAAATTGGAAAAACTCCTCCAGTGCACTCTAACTAGAGTCAGATGGACTGCTGGTGGATCCTGTTTTAAGTATTATGATATTTGATCTAAGAATGATCAAATATTGAAGACTCGTACAGTGCTCTTTGTGATACCAACACATATAGAGAGATATATTGCTCGAGATTTCTTTACTGTATTTTAGTGTCAGAGCCACTACTTTCGGTATTCTGTACATAAAATCCATTCTTTTTTTTATAGTGAAAAGTGTTGAATTGATAAAATACTAATTCTTTCTAATATAGATAATAAGAGACCTGGATTTCGTTATATCAATAGAAATTTTTGAAAAAATGAATAGTTATCGGGATAGTGCGGACAAGAAACTTATTATGATTGTTCTTGCTATTCAAGAAGTTTGACTGGAATTTGAATGCTCAACATAGTTTGCTTTTTACTCTAGGTAAATCATCTCCAGCATAAGTGATGTATACTAAGATCTTCCGTTCGAGCATTTCCACATCTAGGAGACGAAATGTAAAATTATGCCGCTAAAAGAAGAGCGTCGAATAGCAAAATTACCATATATTGTGGCTTTCTTCTGTTGAGATGTGGTAGAACTTTGTGTAAGCAATGACTATGTATAAGGTAATTGTTAACTTTGGAATGATTGACAATGTCCGAATCGATTGTAAAGAAATATTGTGACTTCTGTCTAAATCTATAGAAAAATAATTAATTTCATAATATTTTCGACAACTTCGTTTTATCATTATTTTCTACATCCACTAACTATAGTACTGCTGTCTAATATGGAGTATGCGATCCAAAATACTTTAATGACTTCTCTTTTGCTTACAATTTATGATGGGTGTGTGTGGATTTGGACATGGATGTGGGTATGAATGTCTGCTGTAGATAGAATCGAAGCCTTGTCGCCACCCACACCCACATAGAAAAATTACTTTCATGAGGCAATTTCAACTAGATCTCATTTAAAATGATGAATATCACAAAGTACTATTTATTTCTTAAGATTTAATGAATATGAGCAATAATCAGTATGATGACCATTAACATTCTTTACAGCACGAAAATGAGACAGATAGGAGCATCAAAGAGTTTCAAATAATTTACTGTTTGTTTCCATGTTTGTCAAAATATCTGAAATATGTTGTTTAGAGTTTCTTCATCGCAACGATTGTGTCCTGTCTCCAATAGCATTTTGTTTCACTTCCATCTTTGATTATTGTTCCAATATTTCCTAGCCAAGTGTTGAATACTTTGTATTATTCATCATTTAAAATGAAATCTAGTTATTGCCTCATGAAAATAAATTTTCCATGTCAATGTGGTGCAAAATTCTAAAAACTTTCTGAGTTCGACACTGTAAAGTTGTCATAACCTTTACTATTTAGCATCGATAAATCCCATTTTCGACGTGCTTTATTTTTGATATAAAATTTATTACGGATGCTATTTGAAAACATAGCGTTACCTCCCTGGAAAAATATTTTTACGCACCCTGTATCACCGGTTCTATCCAATGGCGATTTACCTAATGTACCTGGTGAACCAGACAACAGGTTGTAGGGTTCCACAAAATCTTCCTTCCAGCTATTGAGGATGTCATCTTCACCTATCAAGAGTCGATCAGTGGCATTTTTATGGAGTGAGAAGCTGTAGATCAATCTTCACGGAATTGGAGAATGGTCTGCCAAAAGACTTTGCTAGCTGAATAATAGGTGGATTACAGATGGTGTCAGATATTATCGCACAAGGTTGCTTTTGCTTCAGCCACAAGTTTCTTCGCATTGTCCCGGATTTGCTCATGTCGCTGCCATTTTCCGCTATCTGCTATTCAGTCAATATACAATATGCCGCTTTCTTATCACCAATAGCCATGGGTCTTTGTCGATCAAGCATGTAC